TAGTGCTGCTGTTTTTTTTCAGTTTTTGGATGCTAAAGTAAAAAAAGATTACAGGGTACTAAAAGTTCAGGTATTCATACCAGCTACTTTTTTAATATCTGCCCAGAGTTCAGCTTTAAATTTAGAATGATGTGTGGAAGTTAAGGACCTCTGTCAGGATTTAAATGTTGTTTACACCCCCTTTGAAGACTATTTCCTTCACTACCTGTACCAAGATCACAAAGGCAGAATGTGAGTGGAAAACTCCAGAAAACTGGCAAGGACACAGACAGCAGTATAAACCGAGCAGAGATTCTAAACCTTCCACATACTATCCAAAGATAAAATGTTTTGGCTATACTTTAACTTTGAAATTGAAAAATTAGCACAGACAGGAAACTAACTTGGTATAGCTCATGCAGTACACATTATATGTATGTTTAAATAGAAGCATACCATTTCATCCATAGGTACCAAATGCTTGTTCAGTGGCTTAGTAGGGGTGCTAACACTCTCCAGTGGGGTGCTTGGGCGAGGCATTGGATTAGACATGGAAAGTGATGGGGCAGCCAGTCCTTGGATGAAAATCTTTCCCACCTGCAGTATAAAATAGGGAATGATAGTATAAATCTTAAACATAGAGCATAAATCCCCATGACTGACAAGTATTCAAATAAAACATTTGGATTTCATATTCTATAAGACTTACCCTAACCACCCCGGTGTATAAAACCAAGTTCCCATTGTTCTCAAGAATCACCATGGTGTCAATGCTCTAAAAAATACAGAGCTTAGCAGAATTAAATCTCAGATAACACAAAAATTCTTAATTTACTAGTAGATAAGCAGCTGAAATTACCTGCACTGGTGCAGCATCCTTTGCAAAGATATTAGTAACAGAGCCAAAGATCAACTGAGACTTATCATTGCTTTCTTCAAACTTTACCATACTGAGGGGAAAAGAAAAAAAATTGTAGCCAAGCAATTCAGTTATTTAAAATATTTATCTAAAAACCCATCTGCCCATCAATGATTATAAAAGAAAGCATATTAAAATATAAATCAGTAAAAACTGTAAAAGACATACAACAAAACACATCCACATGAATTGTCCACATAGTGGCTTTGGCAATGCTGGCTGTATGGCATGAGATGAGCCTGAGAGTCATAACGCATTATATACTGTTGGTGTTACAACAATTCAGCATCATTCAGTATTTGTACTAAAAGCCAGCAAGGCATCACTTGCACATGATAGTAAAGAGGTTTAACCTCTATATCATGGACATGATTTGTTCCCGTAGAAAAATGTGAAATGGTTTTCTGCAGTAAATGGTTCTAGTGGCTACAGTTGAACTGAAAAAAAAAAGTGTTGATCCAAAGATTTATCAGACTGCCTTTAGGGATCAACCTATAAAAACAACAAAACAAAAAAACTGTGAGGTGTTAAGCCTGCTGCTGCCATAGTGTACAGTACACTATAAAAGCAGATGGATGTGAGAAGTCCCTTGTTTCTCGTTTTCCAATATGAGAAATAGTTTAGTTATTACAGCTCGACCAGTCTAGATGGTGGAAGATGAACCCAGTAGGAGACTGTCCACCTTCTCACTCTATTTAAGTGTTCTTGCATGGCAAGACCACTTACTGTTATCTCACATATATATTCTTATTATTATAGCCAAATTTACCACCCTAACTCCTCCCACAGTTTTTACACTACATAGACAGTAATATACCGAAACGTGCGGATTGTTCCCGATTGGTGTGCTATTACTTTGTGGAACGTTTCGCTGAATGGTTCACAAAATATCGCCGTTTCTGTGGTGAAATTGGTCCCATAGGAATGAATGGAGAAATGTTCAAAACTAGAGTGGGAGCTGAAAAATCAGGACATGGTTTCTAAACTGCCATCACTCCCTCATTTTCAAGCCCACCTACACAAATCTTATATCAAAACGTTTAGCTATCCCTGCTGCCATTAAAAATGTCCACGGCTAAGCCATAGTCCTGAATAGTTGTCACAATATGACCATTTGTTTGCAACTCACGCCGCCCATTGACATTCATTGAAACTGCACTCTAGCCACCTCAAATTTTAAGGGCAATTTCTAAACTGTGACTGTGCCTTCATTTGTAATATTTCAGAGACATACTATGCATCAAAATGTAGGTCTGGGTCTTGTCGTTCTCACAATATAAAGCTCTTCGGTGTAGGATTTATAATTTTTAAACTACAGCCGTTTGAAGATGGCAACCGCCAGTGAAGTGAGCAAGTTGGAGCAGTTTGTTTTTAACCGCTCTTCTCTGTCCTTGCTGTAGAGTGAATTGCCATAGGAACCCAGGTGTGTGAGCAGGCAGCAGAGTGACAAAAGCTAGAGTGTGAGCTGAAAAATAAAAGTTGAAATGCATTTCTCACTCTATCAAGCTTGTCATGTGCACTTTTTAAATTTGATCAATCAATTGGTTAGTGTAATGTTTACTATCTTTACTCACTCCAAACACTCCACACAGTTACTCTGCCCACTCCATAAAGTTACTCTGCCCAGCCCAACCTTTTCACAGTTACTCCAGCCACCCCAACCACACACTAGTTACTCAAGCCATTCCTCCCAGTTACTCCGCCCACTCCAGTTGTAGACTACTGGTGGAGGCAAGAACACTTCACACAATTTCCCCAGAAATTGTAGCTTTTCTAGTTTCTCTTGCTGTCAACAAGTTCCTTGTCAAGACTACAGCAGAACTAGACTGGCCCCTAGTGCTTGCCCTGCCTCTCCTTCTGCACAGGAGACTACAGAAGGCTGATATTAAAAATTCAGCTGCATTTAAAAACATGTATAAAAGATTACAATAAATAAGTGTGTGTGTGTAAGTAACTTCATTTATTCATATTACCATTTACTTAAAGTGGTTCTTAAGACAAAAGGTTTTATATCCATTCTCAACAATAAGGTAAAAAACCTTCCAATACGAATTTACACCCCCCCCTCACACCTATCCTAAACACTTACCCAAGTCCTCTCTCAATCTAGCGTTGTGCCCTCTACTGCCCTGCTCTCTACCTCTTCTCACAGGACACACAGGCAGCAGTGGGAGCCATAGATCCCTACTGCCGTCAAATTCTGTGAGAAGGGAGTGTGGGGGGGGGGGGGGTTAAATGTGATCTAGCTGCAATGTGTGTCTATGGAGAGGAGGAGGAGCAAAGACTGCCAGCAGAGGGATTAGAAGAGGTAAGGGACTGTTCTGTTCAATACATTGCACAGAGCAAGTAAGTATAATCACTTCAGCACCAGAAAATGTTACCCCCTTCATGACCAGGCCATTTTGTGCTATTTAGCACTGCGCTACTTTAACCACTTGCCCTCCAGAGGATTTACCCCTTCCTGACCAGGCCATTTTTTGCGATAAGGCACTGCGTTACTTTAACTAACAATTGCGCGGTCATGCAACACTGTACATAAATTAAATTTGTCCTTTTTTCCCACAAATAGAGCTTTTTTTCGGTAGCATTTGATCACCTCCGCAGTTTTTACTTTTTGCGCTGTAAACAGAAGAAGACCGACAATTTTGAAAAAAAAAAAAAAAAAACACAATATTTGACATTTTGCTATAAAACATGTGCAGTAAAAAACTTTTAAAAAAATCTAATTTCTTCATAAATTTAGGCCAAAATGTATTCTGCTACATGTCTTTGCTAAAAACAATCCTAATTTATTAATTGGTTTACATGAAAGTTATAGCGTCTACAAATGTCTGCATATATTTATATTTTTTTTATACTAGTAATGGCGTCAATCAGCAACTTATAGCGAGACTGCGGCGGGCATTCTGACACTGGGTGGGAACTAACTGCCACTGACATCCCAATGACACTAATACAGTGATCAGTGCTAATAAAAAGCACTGACACTGTACTAATGACACTGGGTAGGAAGGGGTTAAACATCTGGGGTGATCAAAGGGTTAACTGTGTGCTGTTGTACATTATGTGCTGTGTGTGTTTTACTAGGGAGACATATTGCTTTGTATTTCTCTCCCCTGTCAGCTTTCCCCGGCAGGGAATCTCTGGCTGGGACTAGGTGACTGACAACCCTAGCTACCAATGGCAATGCAGGAAGGACGGGTACACGCTCCCTACCCTGAAATGCAAATCACGTATATATACACGTGATTGTGCGCAGCCCTGCAGCAGCAGTTCTACTATAGGGCGGCAGGCAAGAGGTTAAAGTGTTACTAAACCCACAACAGTAAAATCAGTCTTTATATGCAGTAAAGCATGCTTGTTATGTACTGTGGAACCTAAGGGGTTAATCCTCTGCATTGTGTAAAAAATGCTGTTTGATCCTCCCCTTCTTCCAGTGCCCCCTTCTTATCTCCTGATAAGACATATTGTGTGGAGACACTCTGCACATGCTCAGTTTGGTGTGTATTGCTAGAGAGGTTTTTTTTTTTTCTTGGTAATGTGCATGTGATCAGCACAGGGCCAATCAGCACTGTCCAGACACAGGTCAAAGGTTCTACATTCTCCTAGAGCAGGAAGAAAACTCCTCCTACAAGCTTTATCCAGTGCTCTGCTTAACACTGATAGAAGTCACAAGACTGCTCTAACTGCTGATGAGAAAAGGTATTTAGCAGTTTATATTTACTAAAATAATTGCATTTCCATGTTGTGTGTACTGTGGGAGATCAGATAGAGTGAATGCAGGGTCCTGTGTTTAGTAACACTTTAATGGACAATTGTGTGGTCCCAAATTAAATTTATATAATTTTTTTCACACAAATAGAGCTTTCTTTTGGTGGTGTTTGCCCACCACTGAGTTTTTTTTCCAATTTTTTATTATATAAGTGAATAAAAGACAAATTTTTAAAAAAAAAAAAAAAATCAATATTCTTTTCCCTATGAACATATTCAAAAGAAAAAAAAATAAATTTAGGCCACATGGTATTCTGCTACATATTTTTGTGGAAAAAAAAAAATCACAATAAGTCGAATTTTTATTTACCGTATTTTTCGCTCCATAAGACACACTTTTTTCCCCCCAAAAAGGGGGAGAAATGTCAGTGCATCTTATGGCATGAATACGGAGCAGCCAGGCCGGTATTTCCACCGTGTCAGAATACCAGGCTGGCCGCTCAGCTCTTCTCTGCAGCAGAACCTTACCTGTTCCTCGGTCCTGCGCTGTACAGTCTTCCCACGCCGGCATCTTTAGTGTGGGCAAGAAGCGCTGCGCTTTGTGAATGGCCTGGCGTCTTCTGGGACACATGACAGGTCCAAGAAGACGCCGGGCCATTCACAAAGCACAGCGCTTCTCGTGCATGCACAGTGGGCACACGGCTGTCAGTCGGGTGCCCACACTAAAGGGAGGACAACTCCGCAGAAGTGGAAGCAGGTACCTGTCAAATTCAGGTACCCGCTCTCCCTCCCTCCCCAAAGGTCCGCAGTCTCTTGGTCACACTGTCTGCAGTCTCTGGTCATCCCCTGTACTGTGTCAGCAGTCTCTGGTCATCTCCTGTACTGTGTCCGCAGTCTCTGGTCATCTCCTGTACTCTGTCCGCAGTCTCTGGTCATCTCCTGTACTGTGTCTGCAGTCTCTGGTCATCCCCTATACTGTTTGCAGTCTCTGGTCATCCCCTGTACTGTGTCCGCAGTCTCTGGTCATCCCCTGTACTGTGTCCGCAGTCTCTGGTCATCTCCTGTACTGTGTCCGCAGTCTCTGGTCATCCCCTGTACTGTGTCCCGCAGTCTCTGGTCATCCCCTGTACTGTGTCCGCAGTCTCTGGTCATCCCCTGTACTGTGTCCGCAGTCTCTGGTCATCTCCTGTAGTAGGTCTGCAGTCTCTGGTCATCTCCTGTACTGTGTCTGCAGTCTCTGGTCATTTTCTGTACTATGTCTGCAGTCTCTGGTCATTTTCTGTACTATGTCTGCAGTGCATTGGTTCAGAATATTTTTTTTCTCTTGTTTTTCACCTCTAAAACCTAGGTGCGTCTTATGGTCAGGTGCGTCTTATGGAGTGAAAAATACGGTATTTATTTTTTATACTACTGATGGTGGTGATCAGTGACTTGTAGTGGACTGTGATAGTGTGGAGAACAATCTGACACTAACTGCCACGGGGGGGGGGGGGCGAACTGCCACTGACATCTGCAGTGACACTAATACAGTGATCAGTGCTAATAATATACAGTACACTGTCATTGTACAAATGACACTGGCTAGGAAGGGGTTAACGTGCTGCTTTTCACTAAACATTTATTTTGTGAAACAAAGCCTTAATTCCTTCTGTATAGAGCCCTGTATTGTTTATCAACAGAGGGCTCTAAGCTGTGATTCGACACAGCCGATCAGCAGGTCCAGGCCATGAATCATTGGCGGAGATCTGTTGACAAAACTCCCGCTGTGTCTAATCACAGGGGAGTAGGCGGGCAGGGGTGTGCACATGCGCCCCCAACCCAGAGACGGGCAGTGACATAACAGTACATCGCGGTACCTGTAGCTGCTGCCCCATATACGTATATGTACTGTGGCAGGTCGGCAAGCAAATAGCATTTTTTAATTTCAAGCTCTCTGGATTGCATAAAGAACGCTTACCGCAGTTGGTGCTGGGATTCTATAAGAAAACACAGAAACTTCTGTCCACACAGGTCAGTAGTGATAAATACTTTAGTGGCTTGTGAGTTCTTTTCCCTGTGAATGTGAAAACTGGAGAATATTAAAGAGTCATTTGGTCTCATTCATTAATATTTTTCATAAAACATTTGCCCTGGACAGAGCATGCTTCAAAGTAGGAAGTTGATTTTTCCATACTACAAAAGAGATTGTGACTGCAACTTGAGACAATCCTTCCTTAAAAAGAGATGAACAGGGTTGACTTTGAGCTCCACCTTGACTGTGTTTGACATGACCCAACATCAATGATATATTTTTACATTGCATGCACACATGCTAATTAATGTGCAGGACAACACTTGCAGCTATTTCATACCTCTCACACAGACTGCAGTATTCCCCGACAATACATTCACCTGCAGTTCTCTCTAGTGCGGCCTTTCACCTTACTACAAAGTTAAAATGTCGCAGTCTGATCACTGGGGAGCGGAAACTAAATGTATAACTAAAGCTAAAACCTTTTTTTTTGGTTTGGACAGAGTGGAGATGGATTAGAAAACTGATTTTTATTATTACCTCATTCCCCATTAGGAAAACTTACCCTCTCCATCTGTCCTGTTATCATCAAAAGTAGAACAAAATCCCAAATTTTGGGTTGTCCTAGAACAGTAACAAAGGGGAAATCTTCTAATGGGGACACTAGTTCCTGTGACCTGGGGGCCCTAATGAATTCCCTTAATTTACATGGATTTCATCTCGCTTCCGGTATTGGCTATGGGAGAAGAAGTGAAGGTAAATCTCTCCAATGAGACACAGATTGAAAAAAAAAAAAAATAATACAATTTACAGGGGTCATAAGCCTGACTAAGGATGGCCATACAATTTTCTTCAGATCTTTGGTTTAGATTTACCAAAAAACATATAATAGGAGGTCAAACCTAACAACACATTCAATTGTATCCAATTAGGCAGGCTCTTGCACTACATAGTTGAAGGTAAATCTAAAGGAAATTGGGTAGAAAATTGTATAGTGTATGGCCAGTCTTACTCTATCCAAAAAGAAAAAAAAAAAGTCTTGCTTGTTCTACTTAATGTAAGTAATGCTGCTGACTTTTTACTCCAGTTACTGGAGTTTGAGCATTGCTTTCATTGACAATAGATAAGGATAGATAATGTTGCTAAATATAGGGCATTTATCCATGCTTTATTACATTCACGACTAAGAATGTAAAAAATGTCTTTAATTTAACAGCTAGAGGCTCTAATGTCTGCTGAGTGCAAGTGTTCTGCAGTTCCTAAACGCAATGCTGTAGTTTACTCTGCCCACTGCTCTGCTACAATCAGAACACATACAGTCAGCTAAGTAACTACTTCATACAGCTCTATATGGAAACTCAACTAGAGAGAATCAATCCACAAGCCAGCAGTTTATGCTAGTGTGCCTTATTAGTAACCCCAGAGTGCTTTGAGAACACAAGATAGTTTATTTCTAAAAAAAGATGTTCTATTTTTTTTTTTTTTTTTTTTACAAATAATGCAACTTAGGCAAATAAGCAGGTAAATTTGTAAACATTGAAAGACATTGAGATTCTCTACACATCTTTACCTTGCAATAGTCTCCGTCCACAGGTGGTCAAGGCAGAGCTCGGGAACAATGGGTTCTGTTTCTGGAGTGAAGAAATCACTGGAAGTACTGTTAGGGGAATGGGAGACTCCTAACCTCTTCGGTGAAGGGGTGTAACTGGAGAAATTAAACCTCTGTACACCGGAAAAGGATTGCACACCTAAAGCTGGGGAATGGGAGCGGCTGTAATAAAGAGAGGGGAAAACAAAGGATTATGCAAGGTTATCCTGCCAGTCTTTAAAAGGAAAACTATTATAATGGCAACTATTCAGAGCAAGTTAGGTTATTTATTTCCCAATATGGGAGCTCAGTGAGACTGGCCTTGGCACAGCAGTGTAGCTTTGTCTATATCTGCAAGTGCATGCAACATAATCTATTTTTAAATGATTAAAAGCAGTCTAGACTTTTGTTTTGTGCTGAAAAGCTAGTAAGATGGGTTCTCTTTAACCACCGCCCACCCGCCATATAAGGTAATGACGGGCGCAAGGTCGTTCTCTCATTCTGGGAGGACGTCATATGACTCTAACCATGTGTGCGCGCCCCCCGGGAGCGAGCAGCGTGGTGATCGGTAGTGCGCTGTGTCCCTGGGACACAGCGGTACACCAATCAATGGAAAGAGCTGATGATGTCTGCTCTGTCATGTGATCTGTTGTGTCCAATCCCAGCTGATCGCATGTAAATAAGGAAATGCCGGTTAACGACATTCCTCTCCTCATGACTGCTGTCATGCTGAGGAGAGGAGAGCCGGTAATCGGCATTACTCATAGGGGACATGTACACTGATCATCAGGGCACTGATGATCAGTGTGCCCTGATGATCAGTGTAGCCCCATCAGTGTCACCTGTCAGTGTCCAACGCCACCTGTTAGTGCCCATCAATGCCACATGTCACGGCCTACCAGTGCACATCAATGCCACATATCAGTACCCATATGAGCTGTCTTTCAGTGCCATCTATCAGTGACAGTCAGTGCCACCTATCAGTGCTGCCAGTGCCACCTAACAGTGCCATATATGAGTGTTGCCTTTCAGTGCCCATCAGCGATGCCTGTCAATGCCCATCTGTGCCACCTACCAGTGCCTCCTCATCAGTGCCCATCACTGCAGTCTCATTAGCGCACATCAGTGAAGGAGAAAAATCACTTATTTACAACATTTTATAACAGAAACTAAGAAAAAACTTTTTTTTTCAAAATTTTCAGTTTTTAGTTTGTTTAGCAAAAAATAAAAAACCCAGAGGTGATTAAATACCATCAAAAGAAAGCTCTGAACTCATATATAAGAATTTCATATGAGTAAAGTATTGCATGACAGCGCAATTGTCATTCAAGGTGCGACAGCACTGAAAGCTGAAAATTGGCCTGGGCAGGAAGGGGGTATAAGTACCCTGTAGGCAAGTGGTCAAAGAAGACTTCCAGGTATGGATATTTTATATGAATAGACGTGTGCAAGCGGTTCCACCCTCTCACATCCCAACTCCGCCCAATGCGCAGAATCACAAAAGGAGAAGTCAGCACCTGGAATGGCATCCAACAATAGTTATCCTTTAATGTAAAAACATGATTAACATGCTGTAAAACAGGTCATTGTCATGGCCTGACGGCCGAAACGCATTGACAGCCAGTTTTTGCAATAAAGGATAATCATTTTTGGATGCTATTCCTAGTGCTGACTTCTCCTCTTGTGATTCATGGATGTTTTATACATAGTTACATTAACACAGCTTGAAGCAACGTAACTATACATATACCATAGCTGGAAATCACTGTAGAAGACCGAGCTACTCCAGTGATGTACACTTGCTTCCAGGTCCCATGGCTAGTGGTTGCCCTGGTGTACTGTGAACACAAGGGGTCAGCCACTATTCAGAAAACGCTTTGTATTTACTGAATGAGTGCAAAATTGTTCTCTGATTGAAGAAGGTAGGCAGATGACGTCACACTTTCCACCTCATCCAATCACAGAATGCTTTGCATTCATTCAAAAAGTGCAAATCACATTCTCAATGGTGCCTGTGTGAGTAGACAACAACCTGAATTCAGAATGCAGAACGGCAGCCATTCGGAACAGACCCTGAAGCAAATGGAAATTATTCCAGTAGCTGTGTCTGTGACGATTGCGGCGTCAGACCCCAGCCCCTTCTCACCCAACTCGTGACCGAAGGACTAGCCAATCTAAAATCGCGCTGTCACGTGCGTAACAATGCCATGCCCAGCTGCACCTGCACAAAGATTTTCCAGCTAATGGACTACAATCTGTGTACTTGCAGCCAGGGAGTGATTGTTACTGGGTCAGGTTAATTACACAATTAACCCTTCACACTGCCACCACCTCCTTTTTGTACAAAGAAAGAGGAAACTCTGCAATATTAGCAACAACACTATGGTGGTTGCATAAGTGTTGGTATACCACTGTCACCAAAGGCAGAGATATACCGACGTTTAAAACACACACACAGTAGCGCTCTTCAGAGACAGGGTTTCTTAGTTTGCATTAAAGAGCTTTAGAAACAGTTCAACACTTTCAGAAAGTGAGACTACTAAAAGGTCAAAAGGGTGCAATAAAAATATTTACAGAAAAGAGATGTAGCCTATATATATATATATATATATATATATATATATATATATATATACAAAGAGCAATAGCACAGCAAAGAGATAACAGAAAGGAATTTAGATAAAGTACTTGCCAAAAGCCTTGGGTTAAGCAGCTTTTAAGTTTCAGAGCAACAGGGCCGTCTCCCAGAGTTGGTTTCGATGTTACAAGGGAGAATCTTCTACTTAGCTCGACTCAGCTTAGCTTTCTGCTCCAAACATAACAGCTTTTCTAGCAACTCAGCAGGGTGTCTCCTTGAAGCAGAGAACCAATCGCCTCATTTGGGGAGGGAGGTGTAGGTGGAGACCCCAGCTAGAACAAAAATCCCTCATAGCTTATATCATGGCCCATAACTTACCCTCAGTCCGTTTAGCAGCCTTGCCACTAGTAGATTAATATGCGGACACATCTGCTGAACGTCTAGGTATGAAATATGACATACCTGTTGTGACGGTTAAGGGGATATCATTTTCTGCTTTCCTGGAGCAGTCAGCTAGGGGGTGTAATATATCAGTCGATTTGTATTAAAGTGAGCCATCCGAATATGTGCTCCATGTTTGTGTAATTATTTCCTATTTGGAGATACAAAATTATATGGAAAACTGGGTTTTTAAATGTAAGTCTGTTTCACAGCTAGCTGGAATGTCTTTGAACTCAGTGAAGGACTTATGGCTTTACGATCCTTCTTCAGCAAGAGTCTTGCAGACATAGGGGGGCCAGGCTAATTGGGGTTTATAACCATGACGCCCTCCCAATGGGTTTGCTGCCTTTGATCTCTGCATCAAACAGATCACATGTCACTCAACAGAGAGGGAGGGGGGGTGAGGGAAGCTGCTTTGGGAGTAGAAAATGATCGAAGATGGAGGCCTTTGCCAAAATGCAGGTTTGCATCCATCTCTGTGTGCACAATTGCTACAGTGTCTACTTTAGTGATCTCCAGCTTGCATTGGCCAGATATGGTATACAAATAGTTAAATTTGCTCAAGCTGAGCCAATGTAACTATATATAGAATACTTGGAATAAAAAGCTAAATAATCTAAGACCTGACAAAACCGAGTAAACAGAACTTTCCTATGAGAATTGTACGTAATAAAATCGTGATTACTGTTGCTTGGTTTGATTTTAAACAGTAAACTGTTAACAGTTAACACTAAAAAACATCAGCACATACATCATTTTAACATTTTTTGCCCTGCAAAAACAAAAAAGCAATGTATTATTAGTTTTCTTTACCTCAGAGCAGCCATATTGGAAATAGAAGGCGAATGGGAACGAGAATGGATGCTTGGGGAGGATGCTGAACGGCTTTGGCTGTGGAGTGATGAATAGTTATGGAAAGGTGAAGCTGTTGGTGAATCCCCTTTAGAAACACTGTGCAGGTGAGCTGTCAGAGAGTTGTTCATTATTCCATGTTGTGGGGTACCCAGCTGATCTGGATATTTCAAGACTGCATTCTGTTCCTGTAGATCAACAACACACAAATGATCCACTTGCTACTGTAATTTGCCCAAAACTTCAGATCGATACATTTAAAGTGTTACCCATGACCATGCATTCAACATATCAGGTCTCCCACAATAGAAACAACATGGAAATGCAATTATTTTAGTAAATATAAACGCTTTGCTAAATACCTTTTCTCATCAGCAGTATATAGCAGTATTGTGACTTCTATCAGTGTCCAGCTGAGCACTGGTTAGAGCTTGTAAGAGGCCTTTTCATTCTGCTCTGAGTGTCCTATGAGGCTGTAGGACCCCTACCCCTCTGTCTGCACAGTGCTGATTGGCCCTGTGCTGATCACATGCACCCTCCCAAAGAAAAAAAATGCTCTAGCAATACACACAAAACTGAGCATGTGCAGAGTGACTCCTAGAGCTCTGTACTATCAGGAGATGGATTAGGGACAGTAGAAGAAGGGGAGGATCAGAGAAAACCAAAAATCAAACAGCATTTTTACACAAGGATTAACCCCTTAGGTTGCACAGTGAGCACAGCAAGCATGCTTTACTGCATATACAGACTGATTTTATTGATGTGGGTTTAGTAACACTTTAAAACACAAAAATATGAAATGTTGTATTATGAAATGCATACTGCTCCATCTCACTCAAGTTGTCCTAAATATCCAACCAGAGGGCTTTTGTAACACTGCTCAACAGCTTGTCACATGGCTATGACGAAGGCTTATTGCCAAAAAACACGTAAGCCATTTTATATGCACATTTTACTCGATCAATAAAGTTTATTATACGGAAAGACGAGTGGCAGCTATACCAATCTTCATCATTCAGCTTGTCACATATGCCTTCAACTGACACTCAAGTTTCATTTCCTTTATTAAAATGAGGAACTAAAGGCAAACTAATTTTTTTCTCTCCGCTCTCTGTCCAAAACTTTAAAAAAAAAAAAAAAAAAAAAAGATGTTGCTTTTAGTTATACTTTAAAGCTAGATTATGCAGTATTCTGGAGTTGCGTCTGCCTTCAAGATTTTTTGAAATCAGTAAATCTGAGGGGTATAAACCTGGGGTATGAGCCATCTGCATTCTTACTTCACAATAACTCCCTATCAAGAAATACAAACTCTCACTTTCAATACATCTAGTTGATGCAGCAAAAGATAACATGCAAATAGAGGACCTCACCTTGTTCCATAACCATGATGGAAATTTCTGGAAGGCCTGGTTTCACTTGATGGAACAATACCACTCATCACTATTTAAGTCTATTGGGCAGCATAAACATATTTAAAATAATTTTTTTACCTCGGTTTCTTGATGTGTTCTGGCATGCACCGATATATCTACCCAATATGATTTTTGTGCATGTTAATGCTTTTTTAAAGCTTTTCTATGGGGTTCGCGCCCCCCCCCCCCCCCCCTAGGATTTCTCTGGAAACTTTACAACTTCCAGTACAAGGAGGTGGTTTGGCATTGCCTAATCTACAATGCTACTATTTGGCTGCTCAGCTGACTCACATTCATTGGTGGTTTTTCCCTAATCCAGATAATGCCTCGGTCACCTCTCAGGCTGCCCTTATGCAATCTTATGAAGCATTGATCAATCCTCTCTAAAGGAATTGCCCGTATCCCTTTATAGGGGCAAATGTACTGAAGCTCTCTTATAAAAGTAATCATATTTGTAATCTCTTGGTCCCGGAATGCCCCTTTATTGTTCAACAAAAGTCTGTCAGTTTGCTAAGCTTCCTGATGTGCAGTGTTGGGCCCACTTTGGGATCAAGTATGCCCATCAGCTATCAGCCCAGAGACTTTTAAATCTTTTCCTGTACTAAGGGCTGAACTGGGCATTCTGAACACTTACTATTCTTACTAAGTACAGCTACAACATGCAGTTTGGCCTTCATGACATTCATCTTCGGCCTTTGGAATGGAATTTTTGTTATTTGACCATGATCATGCAAAGTT